CAATGATCCACAAAATTAATCAATAATCGAAACGAACGAAAGGGAGATGGGAAAAAAAAATTACCGCCGAACGATTACCTCGCAATGATCCACCAAAAATTAATCAATAATCCAAATAAACGAAGGAACCGCGTTACAAAAGGAAGATGAGAAAAAAAAAAAAGAAATTACCTGCCGAACAAAGGATGCCAAAGTTGGGACTCGTCGGGTGAGCTGGCCGTGGAGCTGACTTCCGGTTCCTGTTTCAGCAAACCGCTCCGCACCCTGAGCAACGGTAGATAAGCGGTGGTCCTCCGGCTGCTGGAGAGATCGATCGGCGCGGGCATGAGCGTGCCGATCGGTTTGCAGCTCAGCTTCGGCCTCGCTTGGTTTTGCAACGCGTTCTTCCTCCCGTTGCTCGCGTGGCCGGGGCCCCCCTTGCTGGCGCCGTTGTTGATCCTCGGGTGCTGCGGGTGCCGCGACCTCGAGACCGGCCCCTCGCCGTGGTCGAGCACGTGCTGAAGATGGGCCAACGATATCACCAACAAATCCGGATCACGGAGGAGATCCGGCCTGGTCAACGCTTCCGGCAGCCTGAGCTCGGGCCTCGAGGCCAACAGTTTCGGGATCTCGGAGGCCGGGGCGGCCGCCAGGCCCGGCAGATAGTCCCTCGGCACGAGGAGGGGGTCGGGTATCAAGTGTCCCGACGTCTCGATCAATTCTCTGAGCTGACCGGCCGGGTCGAGCATCAGCTTCTCGGTGCTGGTCGACGTGGCGCAACCCTCCTCCATAACCTGCACCCGCTGCTTCGAGGAGGATCCTCCTCCTCCCCTCTGCCTGCCCGACCATTCGGCGGACATCGGCCTCTTGCGATCCGTCCCCACCAGATACTGGGTGCTGCTGTGAATAACGTCGCCGCTCGACATCGGCCTGCCACCGCAGTTTCTCGCCTCCTGGCCATAGTGGATCGAGCTGGCCGTCGATCGTCCCTCTTGAAACGAGCAGCCTTTGCCTCCCTTCCTCCCCTCCTTCCCTGCAGGAGGATGACGACGACGATCGAGCCGGGTGATCGGGAGGTGATCGCTGGGCACCTGGTCGCACCTGTTCGAGATCTCCTTCTGCTTCTCGTAGTCCCTCATCTCCATCTGATTGGGGGAGGACAGTATACCCTTCAACGTGAGATCGTTCTTCGCGTCCTCGGAACAGGAGACCGAGCAGGGCGGGCTCGGCAGCAACCTCTCGAGGTAGGCGGACGAGGGCCTCCTGGAGGCGGGGGAGCACGGGATCCCGCTCGGCTGGGGGGACACGACGGTGCCGCGGGTCCTCAGCTCCTCGAGCACCTGCTCGTCGAAGTGCTCCACGTCCTGGTACTTGCACTTCGCCTGGGCCTCGCTGCTGATCCTCCCGTGCGCCTTCTCGGCAACAACCGTCGCCTTGCGCTCCTCCGAGTTGCCCTGCCCCACGCGGAAGTAATCCAACGAGTCAGCCTTCTGCCGCCTCAGATCCTCCAACACTTGCGAGTCGCAATCGTCCTCCTCCTCCAAGTCTCTTTCCTCCTCGTCATCCTCCTCCTCTTCTTCCTCGTCCTCCTCCTCCTCCTCCTCGTGAAGGAATCCGTCCAACTTCGACTCCCCTCCGCCCCCCCCGTAGCCCTCGTTCTTGGGAAAATTCACCGTGCTCTCGGGCGATTCGACCCGCGCTTTCGCGCTCGGGGACGTGGAACGTTTCGCGACCACGACCTGAGAATTTCGGTATCGATAACTCGGAATGATGATGGACAAACCGGGAAGATTTTTCGGTGGCGCGGTGGTGGTTGTCGCGGTGGTGGTGGTGTTGGTGATGGAGGTGGTGGTGCGGTCCTGGGACGATTGGTCGGTCGCGGAGTCGGCCAGCGGGTTGCTCTTCAACAATCTTTCCACGCACTCCGCTTGGGAATCGGGCGAGCGACTCGACGAGGAGGCCTTCGAGGCAGGCCTCGGCGGGCACGCGCTCTTCGTGCACGTTTCGGGGGTGTGGGTCCTGGTGATCGACACCGAGAGGCCGGGCGTGTTCCTCAACGCGTTCAGAATCTTCGAGCTGTCGTTGTAGTCGGTTATTTTCACGGGTTCCTCGCAGCCGGGATCGTCGGGTCGCTCCTCTTCCGATCGAGGGATCGTCGACCCGCGATTCCTCCAGTTGGGGGGGCGGGCGGTGCTCGCCCCACGACTTCCAACGCCGCCGTCCGCCTCGGCGATCTTGCACGCCGATCTCTTCGCGCTGTTGTTGTTGTTGTTATTGTTGCTCTTTATGGAAACTATAACGACCTCGTCCTTCGTTCCAGCCTCCTCCTCCTCCTCCTCCTCCTCCTCCTCCTCCTCCTCCTCTTCCTCCTCCCCTTCGCTCTCGGTCTCCCGGTAACCGGTGAGAATTTTCTCCTCGTGTATCTCTATTTTGTCGTCGGTAATAACGTTCTCGTTGTTACTTTTGTCGAGAATCGCGTCATCCAGCGATTGCTGGTAGCTGGAGATCACGTCGCACGTCGTCGTCGTCGTCGTCGTCGTCGTGGTGGTGGTGGTGATGGTGGTGGTAGTGGTGGTGGTCGATTGTTCCTTAACAATCTTGTCGGACGGTTGGACGAGGAGCTCGGATCCGGCCGAATCTTTGATTTTGGCGGGGTCCTCCTCGTCGAGGACCTCCTCGTAAGTTTTCGTGGAATCGACGGGGAGATCGGCGGTAGGCGTGTCGGTGGCTAGAACCGGGGAGGCAGTGACATCGATCATGTTCAATATGTCCTGAATGCCCGCCTTGCTCGAGTGCCTTCTCTTCCCGCTGTCCACAGCCGCCGCCCTCTTCCCCTCACCGATAACATCGTTGTCCTCCTCCTCGTCGTCGTCGTCGTCGTCGTCGTCGTCGTCGTCGTCGTCGTCATCGTCGTCGTCGTCGTCGTCGTCGTCCTCGTCGTCCTCCTCGCTCTGCCCCACCGAAGGACATTCCGATGGACGGCCTCGGGCAATCGAGAAAAGTGTAGCTGTTCCAACACCACTCGCGGTTGGAACAACTTGTCTTTCTGCAGCCTTTCCAGCTTGTTGTTCTTCCTCCTCTTCTCCTTCCTGCCTCCTCTCGACGACCTCTCTTCCTCCTTCTCCGATATCCCATTATTCCCTTCTTCCTTCCTCTCGTTCTCCTCCTCCTCCTCCTCCTCCTCTTCTTCTTCTTCTTCTTCTCTCTCTCTCTCTCTCTCTCTCTCTCTCTCTCTCTCTCTCTCTCTCC